GGCAGGGGCCGCCCCCGTCGGCGGCCGGCGCCGCGCCGAGAGGGGCCCGCTCGAGCTCCACGGCGAGGGCTGCAGCTCACGGCGCTGGTCGCGGCTGCCGCGGTCGAGCGGCGCGCGGCAGCAAGGGTCGCGCTGAGTCTACGCGATGGCCAGGACCTCCCCCAGGCACGCGCTGGGCCGCCCGGGCGACGCCTCGGCGCGGCGCGCGCGGCCTCGGAACCCGGGGGGCGGAGCGCCCCGAACAGGCGGGCCCCCGCGGCCCCAGACGACAGGGGCGGCGGCACCGTTGCCCGACCTCTCCGCGGGCGACGTCGCGTTGCCCGACGTCTTCGCGGGTGGCATCGCGCTGAGCTCGGCGAGGCGCGACCCGCTCTTCGCGAGCGCCGCGACGGCGCTGCCTCCGGGCGCCAACTCGGCCCGCGGAAGTGGTCGAGCTCAGGCAGGGCCAGATTCTGCCATTCACGTCCGCCGCGAAGCTCGGCGCGCACTCCGGCATTGTCGTCGCTCTTTCGGCGTCGGGCGCGGCCGCCAAGACGAGAAGCCAGATCGACGCCCTGCCGATCGGCGTCACGGCGCAACCCTGGCTGACGAGCGCCCTGCGGCCATTCCACCAGCCCGAAGCGCCGGGCCCCAAGATGCCCCTCGACTTCGCCCTTCCAACTTACAAGAGAAAGGTCTTGAAGATCGCCGACCGCCGGGGCTGCTCAACCCTCGGCGCGCGCCCTCGCGTTTCTCAGATACCCAGGGGCCTCCAACGGCTCATCGCGCAGCAGAGGGGCCCTGACAGGGAAGCGGCCGACGGCTTTCGCTTCCCATGGATCGCGTCCGCATCAAGTTGGCGAGCCACTGGAGCGCGATATGAGCGCGGGCACAGAGAGACTGGTACATCCCCGGTCTCCGGCGATTGTTCTTTCCGCGCTTCAGGCCTCAGCTTCTTTCAATGGGCGAATATTTCAGAGGTGATTGGAGAACAAACCCACTCAGATCTTCCAGCTTCGCAGAGATGCGCGCGCCTGGGCGAGTTTCACCCGCCGTCAAAGGGCGCGTTGAGTCGCAGACGTGAATGCCGCCGGGCCTCTCCGCGCCCGCCAGGTCCAACGCGCGCCTCGCATGCCGCCGCGACGCGATGGCTTAAGTCCACCCGCCCGCGTCCACCCTCGCGCCCGCGCCGTCTCCAGTGACTTTTCCTTCCGCGCTTCAGGCATGAGCTTCTTTTAATGGGCGAATGCGTCGGAGGCGATTGAATATTGAGTCCATTCCTATCTTCCCACTTCGCTGGGATGCGCGCGTCTGAGCGCGGCTCTTAGACCGCTGCGGAGCGCCTGCATTCCTGCAGCCGCCAGGAAAAGCTTCAAATGCGAACCTGCCGAGCTACGGGGGCCACCGGCAGAACCGCGAGAGCCGCTGGATGAGTCGCGCCGCCCGCAAGCTAAGCTACGAAAGCCGCGAGCGTGTTTTGGAAACCCACCGGCCGAGCCGCGGGGGCCGCCAGCTCAGATGCGAGGGCCGCCAGCAGAGCTACGCAGACTACCGGGCCCTACCAGAGCCACCAACTCAGAAGCGAGAGCTACGGGCAGAGTTTCGAGTGCCTTCGGCAGAGCCGCGAGGCCCACCTGAAAAGCTGCGAGGGCCACGACCTGAGGGCAACGGGCAGAGCAACTACCGCCACTAGCAGAGCTACCAGGGCCACCGGCGCCCCTGCGAGGATCACCAGCTGAGCTACGACACGCGGTCCGCAAGGTGAGCTACGAGGTCCGCGAGCAGGGCTGGGAGGCCCACCCGCTGCGCCGCGAGGGCCACCAGCTCAGATACGAGGGCCGCCCGCTGAGCTACGAGGACCACCAGCTGAGCTACCAGATTCCCCAGCTGGGCTACGAGGACAACCAACAGAGCTATCACGGCCACTAGCAGAGCCACAAGGGCCACCAGTGGACCACGAGCTCAGCAACGAGGACCGCGGGCACAGCTACTACAGCCACCTGAAGAGGCACCAGGGCCCCCAGCAGACTTTCGAGAACTCCATTCTGAGCTGCGAGGCCCAGGGGCGCAGCTACGAGAGCCACGGGCAGAGCCGCGGAGACTGCGAGCTGAGCTACGAGGACCACAGGCACAGCCACGAGAGCTACGAGGCCCACCTGCTGAGCTACGAGGGCCACAACCAGAGCCACGCGGACTTCAGCGGAGTGACTATGGCGACGAGCTGAACTGCAAGGACCAGAAGCAGAACTCCGAGACCAGCCAGCTCAGCAACAAAAGGCCCCCAGCGGAGCTGCGAGGGCCACAACTCGGGCCATGCGGGCCACAAGCACTACGAGAGCTCCCCCCCCCCACGGCTGCCATGGCGACCAGCTGAACTGCAGGGGCCACGAGCTGACCTTCGAGGGCCACCAGCGCAGTTGCGAGGACCACCTGCAGGGCTACCTAGCCAACAAGCTGAGCAGCGATCGCCGCGAGCAGATCCAGCGGCGGAGCTACGAGGACCACGTGGGGGGGGGCGACGAGGGCAACCACCTGAGCTACGATAACCACCGGCATAACTAGCTTGATTACAGAACAAGCCAAAGTACTTGAACACGCAGGACTACGACAAGGGGTGCCGCCCCGGGTGGCCCCGAGGGTATATTGGACGCGCGGGTACCACCACGGAGCGCTGGGCATTCAGATCGGGGCCGATGGCCATCAGTGTTAAGAGTACCGTCGTCGGGCCCATCGAGAAGTATCAAAAGAAGCGGTTTGCCGTCATGAACCAAGAGACGGCTTGGGCCGACCAGTATCACCATCCGATGAGAAAGAATTGCGTGTTCGAGTGCTTATACGACCTCGCACATTCTGAAGGCCAGCCAGGGGTGGCATAATTATGTCTCGACGTGTTCCACGACGAGAGCAAGCCTGTTCGACGTAGTGGACGGTCGGATTGCGAAATAGTTACGGCGAGACCGGCCCACCGGAAGCCGCTGGTTATGATACTCCAGCGCTGTATCCTTCTTCGTGCCGATCGTACTTCCTCTACAGCGCTACGGACAAGGGTATATCGTACGTGTGCTTACCACGTCTACACCGGCACGGACAAGGTGATCCGCACGGCCACGGCCGAGTGGCTCCGCCGCTTTACCCCCCCCACGCCCTTTTTCGGTTGAGTGCCCCCTCCCACCCCCCACCCTTCTCCGGAAAGGGATGGCCCCCGCGCTGGCCGGCGGCGTGCGCGCTGGCGCGGCGCGCGAGCCTCGGGAACGCCCAGCGGCGCTGCAACGGAGAGGAGGAGAGGGAGGAGAAGGAGGAAGAGGAGGAGGAGGGGAAGGAGGAGGAGGAGCAGGCGGAGGAGGACGGTAACAAAGACCGACGTCGTTTTTGGCCCCTGGAGGAGGAGGAGGGAGAAGGGAGGAGGAAGGTGAGGAGGAGGATGAGGAGAAGGATAAGAAGGAGGAGGAGGATGAAGAGGAACATTCATAATAATGATACAAGTAATTACTATTGCTACTACTACTACTACTACTACTACTACTACTACTACTACAATTGCTACTGCTGCTACGCGATACTACGATTATCTACTATACTACTACTACTACTACTACTACTACTACTACTACTACTACTACTACTACTACTACTACTACTACTACTACTACTACTACTACTACTACTACTACTACTACTACTACTACTACTACTACTACTACTACTACTACTACTACAACTACGGTACTACTACTACTACTACTATACTACTACTACTACTACTACTACTACTACTACTACTACTACTACTACTACTACTACTACTGACTACCTACTACTACTACCTACTACTACTACTACTACAACTACTACTACTACTACTACTACTACTACTACTACTACTACTACTACTACTACTACTACTACGACTACGACTACTACTACTACTGCTACTGCTGCTACTACTACTACTACTACTACTACTACTATTCCTACTACTATTACTACTGCTACTACTACTACTATACTACTACGCTACTACTACTACTACTACTACTACTACTAGTACTACTACTACTACTACTACTACTACGACTACTACTACTACTACGATACCTACTACTACTACTACTACTAAGACTTACTACTACTACTACTACTACTACTCTACTCTACTACTACTACTACTACTACTATACTACTACTACTACTACTACTACTACTACTACTACTACTGTACTACTACTACTACTACTACTACTACTACTACTACTACTACTACTACTACTACTACTACTACTACTACTACTACTACTCTACTACTACTACTACTACTACTACTACTACTACTACTACTACTACTACTACTACTACTACTACTACTACTACTACTACTACTACGACTACTACTACTACTACTACTACTACTACTACTACTACTACTACTACTACTACTACTACTACTACTTACTATACTACACCGTACTACTACACCTACCTACCACCACTACTACTACTACTCACTACATACTACTACTACTATCTACTACTACTACTACTACTACTACTACTACTACTACTTACTACTACTGCTACTACTGCTACTAACTACTACTACTACTACTACTACTACTACCATACTACTACTACTACTTACTACTACTACTACTACTACTACTACTACTACTACTACTACTACTACTACTACTACTACTACTACTACTACTACTACTGCTGCTGCTGCTGCTGCTGCTGCTGCTGCTGCTGCTGCTACTACTACGACGACGACGACGACGGCGACGACGACTACTACGACGACGACGACGACGGCGACGACGACTACTACTACTACTACTAATGGTAGCAATGATAATAATATGAAGAAGAACGCGAATACGGAGAGTATGAGTTATAATACGAAGCAGAATATGAGGAGGAGGAGGAGGAGGAGGAGGAGGAGGGGGGCAAGGATGCAGCGAAGGATGGACAGTGAGGAGGCGAATCTCGAACTTCGGTTTTCGAACGACGCCACCAATAGCAAGGACCACCCGTACCACGCTGGCGGCGTCGCGGGGGTCACGCGCGAGCTGGACTCGGCGTTGGGGGTCTGGCGGCGCGCGGCACAGGTTTTTGCCCGCCGCCGCCGCCGGCGTCGTTGTCGTCATTGTCGTCGTCCCGCGGTTCGGTGGCATGCTCATGTTGTCCAGCAGCGATTGCGGCAAGCGCTGGCGAGGCGTATTGGGACTCTTCAGAGGATGTTCGTCCTTCCTCCGCCTCCTCCTCCTCCTCTTCCTCCTTTTCCTCCTCCGTTGCCATGTTGGCTCAAGGCCAAAATGGTTCCCTTCGAACTGCCTCAGCGGGGTAGGCTCCCATTCAACTCCCGTCCTTCTAGGACCTCCATGTGCACTCTCCTCGCCTCGCGAAGACTCGGCTGCCTCATGTGCCTGGCGCTGGGCACCCTCTTCTGGATCCTGCAGGTCATCGCATGGACTCCTCCGACACAGGCGGCCCTCGGCGCAGCGCCGGCAGGAGTGGAGGTGCTGACGGTTCTCCCCGTGAAGAGCCCGCTCGACGACGTCACCGTCGATCTCAGGACTACGGTCGCAAACAGCCGCGCTCCCAGCAATGGTTTCGTGAAGAACGACAAGGTGGTGCGGGGCGTTTTGTGGGTCCCCATCCGCGGTTTGGTGGCGCCACCGCACCTCTTCCGTTTCCCGCCCATCCTCTTTCGCAGCAATCGTTTCTCGTTGCCCACGACGCCGCCGCCACATTCCCATCACAAGAGCGTGTTGAGGACCCTCTGGCGCGTGCTGACCCGTGGCAAGGGCTGCCTGGAGATCGCCCAATTGCTCAAGAACAGTCTCACCCTGGCACCGCGGCAATTGGATCGGCGTTTTCCGCAACAGTTCGTGGCCTCGAGGCGCTCACGAAAGCCCTGCATGACCAGCTCACGGCCCACGTCGGCACCGCCTTCGCCAATTCCAAAGTGGATACAGCCCGCACCGTCGCCAAGGCCATCCATGACTCTCAGACGCTCCTCTCCAGGCGTACTGCTGGCACTGAGGGCGGTATTGCAACCTTACGGCAGCGCATCTCAGCATCTGAGAAGGTCCAGGACGAGACAAAGCAGGCTGCCGCCGACATCCAAAGAGCCCTCGCAGTGGCTGAAGCTCAGGTGCCCATCGCCTACCTGGCTGTGGAGGCTGACTCCGATCGAGTTTTTGACCCTGCCGTCTTCACGGCTGGCTGTGCCGAGCTTGGTTCACCATTCAAGGTTAACGCGGGATCGTTGCATCGTTTTCGGACGCTGGAGTGGATTGGTCCAACGCCACCCTCGTGGGGGATGTCACCGCCAAGAGATTAGTCATTCGACTTCTCGGGGGCCTTGCTCCCGCGGCCCCTCGAGCTGCTGCTCTCCGCACGAGGCCTTCGAGTACAAGGAGGTGCTTGGAGAAAATTCCAGACACATGCGGTCACATGCCAGGTTCTTCAACCATACGTCAGCGCAGAACGTAGTCCTCGGCAGATTCGGCGTGAGATCCAGACACGTCGGCTCCATCGGCTTCTCTCAGACGCGTTACCAGATGCAGACCTTCGCCCCTTCAAGCAGAAGGGGCGCATTACCAGTGGAGGTGTCCCGCCCGCGCGGTTGGAGGTTGGCGCCACGGCCACAGCCGAGACCACATTGGTCTGGCACCTCCTCCCCGCACGGGATCTACGAGCCGATCCAGCCGCCATCGCCAAGTCCTTCAACGACTTCTTCGGGGAGGATCGGGGCATTTCGTGTGGGGTGGGTGGGGGGGGGGGGCATTCAACGTGGCCGCGGCCCCTTGGCCCTGCGTCTGGCTAATTGGAAGGCGCGAGGGCCCCTCAGAATCAATCTCCGTCGCCGCAAAGCTAAGTTCTCTGTTTTCCCACCGCAAATGCGCCAAACTTACACCATTCGTTTTCAAGAAGTTCATGTGATCTTCCGAGGCTCCGACGAGCTATACAAGCGTTCCCAGTTCAAAATGAGATCATGCACAATGACGGCGGCGGTCCTGGCATTGGCGGCGCGGCCTTCCTCGTCCCCAAGGACCCAGGTATGGACCTCGTCGACCTCCATCAAATCCAGTCGGCCCCAGGTACTCCAACAGGATCGGCAAGTCGCTATTCATCCTCTTCCGCCTCATCGCATGATTCCCCATCGTCTTCTGATACCTCTCATGACATACGCGCCGAGCCTGACCCAGGTGTTCTGGGCGAAGACACTTACAATGGGGCCCTTCATCACAGTAACTATCCGTTGGACTCATGTTGCTAGCCAGCATTTGTTCAGCGACACCCGCTGTTGCAGGTGACACATGGCGATCAAGTCACACCAGACTCCGCTGCCCAACTCTCACACGTGATAGGCCTCATCTCGGAACGCTGGTTTCCCAGCATTGGCTTCATTGATGCGACGGACGACGCTTTTGAGCATTCGGTTGACGGGTGCGTTGAGCATTGGGTTGACTGAAGCTCCAACACCATCGGTTCGATCAGCTCTTTGCCAATGTGGATGATAACTCATGCGTCGCCACTGCTCAGAGGTTTGCAGAGAACGTGCGCCTAATGGCCTCGCAAGAGGTAACGGTGGATCGGGATGTGTGTTTTTTTTTCTCATCAGTGAGGTCGTCAGCAATCCTCAGCGTCAGCATGAGCTTGCCCATCGTCGCCAGATCAACGAAAAGGCTCCGAGGGCGGCGCGGTCTGCATCACCCACGTGACTTTGGTTTCCCCCCCATCTTGGAGGGCGGACATTTAGAGATCGCCCAGAACCACTTGGATGACACCTCGATGATCCAAATCTCGGCTCGCTCGCCAACAAGCACTCAGGCTTCCCACGCAGCTGCCGAAATGTCAAGCCCCACCAACCCCGAATCTCTCCCAAATGTTGGCGACGCAATGGCGCGGCATCCGCGTGCCCCTTCTGTGGCTATGGCCAGGGCCTGTGCATCAGCACAGAGTTTTCCCCCTTCCTGCATGGCGAAGCGACGCGCGCCGCCCTCTCCAGCGACCCGTCGACCAACTGGCTCAGGAGGCCCCAGGAGGCCTCGGGCCATAACGCCAGCAAAAACCGGCAGGTGTTACGGCCCCAGGGAACCCCTGGAAAGCTCAAGAGGCACCAGAGAGCCTCAGGAGTCCCCGGGAGGCCCCAGGAGGCCTCAGAACATAACACCAGCCGATTGCGGTGGGATTGGGGCAAGTTTTGGCAGAATCGGCCAGCGTTGTGGCCCAGGAGGCGCCTGGAAAGCATCAAAAGGCACCAGAGAGCCCCAGGAGGCCCCAGCACGGCCCAGGCCATAACACCAGCCGGTGTTGTCGGCATCGGGGCAAGTTTTGGCAAAAGCGGCCGGCGTTACGGCTCAGGAGGCCACTGGAAAGCTCCAAGAGGCGCCAGGAGGCCCCAGGAGGCCCCAGGCCATAACACCGTCTTGGCGCCATAACACCCGCTGGTTCTGGTGGAATCGGCGCAAGTTTTGGCAAAATCGGCCGGTGTTATGGCGCAAGGGCGCAAGGGCCTCCTGGGGGCGTCCTGGAGGTTCCTGGGGCCTCCTCGCGTCCTGGGAGACCCGGGGGGGCCCTGCGCCATGCGAAATCCCCCGCCCGACACCGTGCGAAAACTCTCCCTGGGGAGGCCCGCAGACCAGGGGAGGCCTGGGTACGCTGCCCTGGGGCCCCGCGAAACGTCAGAAAAGGTCGGCAAGGTGATCGATCGAAAAATGCAGCGCTGCGCGATAAGTCGAAGAATCGAGAAGTCGAAAAGTCGAAAAATGCTGCGCATCGCAAAACATGATCGACCCACGAACCCGGAAAGGAATATAGAAATGTAAGGCATGGCAACTTTTCAAAGACATTTGATTGGGCGACGGGCAGATGCAATGCTGAATGTATCGATCTTGATGTACTGTGCAGAGGGCTGTGATGTATTACGCCGTGCTGGACTGCGATGCGCCATGCCGCGATTTTGCTTTATATCGCGTTGTGGATCGAGTCCTCCCTGGCATCCGAATCCTGACCGAACTGATCTGGATCTTAAGCTCGAGCTGCCTGAGCAGATGGCAACTGCCCCAGAACTAATGAACAGAGGGGACATGCCAGGAGGACGCGCCGCGGAACGTCCCAAGGGACGCGCCAGGCGGCGTGCCAAGGGACGTGCCATGGGCACGCACCGCGGGACGTGCCAAGGGGACGCGCTACGGAACGCGCCAATGGACGTGCCGCGGGACGTGCCAGGGGACGCGCCGCGCGACGTGCCAGGTAGACTCGCCGCGGAAAGCGCCAAGGAACGTGCCAAGATGCAATGTTGAGTGCATCGTTATTGATGTACCGTGCCGACGGCCGTGACGTACTGGGCCGTGCTGAATTTCGATGTGCCATGCCGCGATTGTGCTCTATATAGCGTTGTGGATCGAGTCCTCTTTGTATCCGAGTCCTGACCGAACTGATCTGGATCTTAAGCTCGAGCTGCCCGAGCAGATGGCAACTGCCCCAGAACTAATCGACAGAGGGGGCATGCCAGGAGGACGCGCCGCGGAACGTCCCAAGGGACGCGCCAGGCGGCGTGCCAAGGGACGCGCCATGGGCACGCACCGCGGGGCTTGCCAAGGGGACGCGCCACGGAACGCGCCAATATGGACGTGCACCGCGCGACGGGCCAGGGGGTCTCGCCACGGGACGCTCCGCGGAACGTACCAGGCAACACGCCAGGCTGCAATGCTAAGGGTATCGGTATTGATGTACCGTGCCGAGGACTGTGCTGAGCTTGGGCGACCTGGACACGTGAAAACACGCGTTTCGCTCAAGACGTTCTCAGCACATCCTGATGCTAGACATCCGCCTGGGCAACCTGGACACTTGCAAACAAGCGTCTCGATCGATACTTCCTCGACACATCCTCATGCTAGACATCCGCCTGGGCGACCTAGGCACGTGAAAACAAGCTTCTGGTTCCAGACATCCCCAACACATCCTCATGCTAGACACCTGCCTGGGCAACCTGGAGGCGTGAAACCAAGCGTCTCGCTCGAGACATCAAGACCTGGGCATGCGAAAACAAGCATTTCACTTGAGAGATACTCTGAATTCAGGTCCCCAGGAGAGGACAATCTATAACGCTAAACAAGCGTTTCGCTCGAGACATCCTCAACAAATTCTGAAAACAAGCGTTTCGCTCGAGACATCCTCCCAATTCTAATTCGCCGGCCCTACGCGACCTCGCTATGTATCGCAAAAACAATTTCGCCGGTCCTAGAGCCGCCAGAACAGGTGGTTAACATACTGAAATAGAACCCTGATCCTAAGCCCTTTCCAAAAAAAACAATGAAAAGTTAAACAGTCGAAAAGTGTCCCGCTCCGCGACGAGGCCCAAAATGTCGAAATTTCGAAAAGTCGAAAAGTGCAGCGCTGAATTGCTCGAAGAGTCGGGACAGTGGAAAAGTCGAGAAGTTTTCCACTTTCCGATTTTTTTGAATTGATGCACTTCTGTGCCCCTCTGCGGCGAGGGCACTACGCGGGGCGCCTGGGAGGTCCCCCGACGCGGTGCCCGCGAAAAGTCGGAAAGCTTGAAAAGTCTAAGGATTTTCAACTTTTCAGCTTTTTTTCGACTTTTCGCTGGTACTGGCGGACTGCACTTGGACTTTTCGCCTTGCCGAACCGTTCGCAAAATTTCAAAAGATTGTCAAATTTGTACTAAGCGGCTCATTTTTGATTCTTCGTCTCGTGGCCCCATAGAGAGCTCCACCGCCACACCCAGTACAGCGCCTCGTGGCCCCACAGGGAGCTCCACCGAAAGCTCGCATACGTCCCACCCATTCGTCCCCCCGCCTGCCCGCACTGCCCCGCGCCTCGTTTCTCTTGCGGCGCGGTGCTTCTGAGAGTAGAGGGTATACAACGTGCGGTATTCGGGGTTCGCGTGTTCTCCTCCTTCGTCTCATCTCCCTCGCGGTTCTCGCAGCTGCATATGCTTGGGTTTTTCGTCGGGCTAATTTCTTGTCCCTCTAGAAAGCGGCTGCGACAACGACGACGACGACGGCGAAAGCGACCCTGATCTCCGACGTGCCTATCTTTTAGAGTTTCGGGCCCCCAGACATCTCGACCCTTTCCTTGGGACCTGTTTTTCGTCCCGAGTCGTGGCGTGGCAGTCCCAGAGTCCCAAGCTGGCCCCTGGAAGCCGAACGTGCAAAAAAACCTGAGGCTGGGTACTGTCGAGCCTCTGGAGGTCTGGGGGCGGCGAAAGCGACGACGACGGCGAGGACGACGGCGACGCCGGCGACGCGGCTCCCGTGGCAACCCTGGAGGCATCGGCGGAGCCCGCGGCCGGCGGCGTTCGGCGGCCGTCGGAGCTGTGAAGGGCGCCGGCGAGCGAAAGAGGAGGCGCGCGCGGGCGCGGCTGGGTGCTCCGTGGGGAGGGCTGCCCTGACGTCCTCCCATTGCGAGCAAAATCGCAACAGAAGATTTTCACTAGTTTTCGGCCTCTGGGGGCCCTCAGTGGGCCAAGGGACCGTCAACAAAAAGATTCAGCCGGCCCCCCAGGGAATGGGTCGAGACCTCTGGGGACTCACGTGTGAAAAATCACGACGTCGGGTGTGGGCAGTTCGCGGCTCTGGCCCAATCCCTGCGGTCAGGAGTTCGAGGAAGAAGAAACGGCATAAACATAAGCATTAATTTTCGGAGCTCCGCGCGGATTTCTCGGATCGGCGCTGGGCCCCCATGGCCCCATGGCGACGCCATTGGCGCCGCCCCTGGCGCATTCCGCGCGACCTCCAAGCGGAGCGACACGCTGTCCGCTTGCAGGGCATAGCGTGTCGCCGGGGCCGCCTCCGCGACACGGTAAGCTAAAGTTCTTGACTGTCCGGAGCCCTCTTGTCGCGACCCAGGGCTGTCAAGCATGGATCCGGCACGGAAAGTGGCACGAAAGGCGCGTGTTTGCAAATCCTCTCCTCATCGCTCTTCCGATGCCCTCGTGTCCACCATTTGTTCAAGCCTGGGTTTTTTGCCCTCGATGTGGGCCTCCGTCGGGGACCCTCTTGTCGCGGCCCAGGGCTGCCAATCATGGAGCCGGTACGAAAAGTTGACCCCGGGAATTCTGGGGCCACGGGCTAACTAAAACCAGCGCATCGTCGGATGTCCTAAGCCTTAGGAGCACCCTGCAAAGCGATTCAGACCCAGATAGGCTCGCGTCCTGAAAAATCAGGACGGGAGGTTTTTGGCCGTTTGGGGCCTTTGAGGGCCCTTACAGGACCCTGGGGCCGTCAAACAACGGTTCAGGATGAATTATGCTAACGGAGCTCCCCACATAAAGAGATTAACGGTTTCGTGGGACCAATTTTCTTGATGCCCTCCTCGCTCAGGCGGGGCCTCCCTGGAGGTGTGGGAGGGGCACGAAACCATGTAAATAATATGGTTTTCGGATACCCTCCTCGCTCAGGCGGGGCCTCCCTGGAGGTGTGGGAGGGGCACGAAACCATGTAAATAGTATGGTATTCCGATACCCTCCTCGCTCAGGCGGGGCCTCCCTGGAGGTGTGGGAGGGGCACGGGGGGTACCCTCCTCGCTCAGGCGGGGCCTCCCTGGAGGGGTGGGAGGGGCACGAAACCATGTAAATAGTATGGTTTTCCGATACCCTCCTCGCTCAGGCGGGGCCTCCCTGGAGGGGTGGGAGGGGCACGAAACCATGTAAATAGTATGGTATTCCGATACCCTCCTCGCTCAGGCGGGGCCTCCCTGGAGGGGTGGGAGGGGCACGAAACCATGTAAATAGTATGGTATTCCGATACCCTCCTCGCTCAGGCGGGGCCTCCCTGGAGGGGTGGGAGGGGCACGAAACCATGTAAATAGTATGGTATTCCGATACCCTCCTCGCTCAGGCGGGGCCTCCCTGGAGGGGTGGGAGGGGCACGAAACCATGTAAATAGTATGGTATTCCGATACCCTCCTCGCTCAGGCGGGGCCTCCCTGGAGGGGTGGGAGGGGCACGAAACCATGTAAGTAGTATGGTTTTCGGTATGGAGTGGTATGGAATGGTATGGTAGGCATGGTATGGTACGGTATTGTATGCCGGGCGTGGTCTTACAAGGCCGGGAGGTCGACGTTTTGGTTTGCTCTTTTGCCGGGCGTGGTCTTACAAGCCCGGCCGAGCCTGCCTCAGGGCCGCCCGCGCCCAGCCCCTGCAGGCCCCGCCCCACCAGAGCCAGCCCAGCCCCCACGAAGCTCCGGTTTCCCCCAGGGGGTGGGAGGTGCACGGGCAATCCGCAGCTCGCTGGAAACCCTACCCCCAAGCAGGCCCCAAAGGCACCATTAGGAATTGAACCCAAGAAGGTCAGATTATGGGAAGAAATATTCCCCATTTTACTACAATTCGGCACATACAGGGGAAGGAGGGCATATGATTGCCCTATTCTATGGCACGTCCCCTATTCTAGTAGTGGTGGTGGTGGTCGTCGTCGTCGTTGTGGTGGTGGTGGTGGCGGGGGTAGCGGTGGCGTGCGCGGTGGCAGTGCGGCGGCAACGGTGAACGCAGCCGTGAGGGGGGGGGAGGGGGGGCGGAGCGGCGGCTGTGGTCGCCGCAGTGTTGGTAGTGGCTTTGCATGGGCGGTGGCAGTGGCGACAACAGCGGCGGCGGCGAGCGCGGCCGCTGTGGGGGGCTGAAAAGGTCTGGGAGCCGCGGCGCTGGGTGCTTCAAACAAGCAGCGGCCGAGGTGGTGGCGGCTGGGCAGCCAGTGGCAGTGGGAGTGATCGTGGTGTGGGCGGCGGTGCCTTTGGCGGGGGCGGCAACAGCAGCGGTGGGGACAGCGATAGTGGTGGGGCAATGCTGGGCGGGGGCCGGGGGGGGCGGTGGCCGCGGTGATGGTATTGGCTGCGGCGTGCCTGGGGCAGGCGCGTTTGCTTGCTTGCTGGATAGTGGCGGCGGGGCTGGGTCGCGCTGGGGGGGGGGTGGGGGTGCGGCGGGGGGTGGTGGCTGTCGGCGCAGCAGCGGCGGCGGTGGTGGGCCCGGTTGGAAATGCCAGAGGCAGCGGCAGGGTTGGCGGCCGCGGCGGCAGCGGTGGCGGGGGTAGCGGTGGTGTGCGCGGTGGCAGTGCGGCGGCAACGGTGAGCGCAGCCGTGAGGGGGGGGGGCGGCTGTGGTCGCCGCAGTGTTGGTAGTGGCTTTGCATGGGCGGTCGCAGTGGCGACAACAGCGGCTGCGGCGAGCGCGGCCGCTGTGGGGGCTGAAAAGGTTTTGGGAGCCGCGGCGCTGGGCGCTTCAAACAAGCAGCGGCCGAGGTGGTGGCGGCTGGGCAGCCAGTGGCAGTGGGAGCGATCGTGGTGTGGGCGGCGGTGCCTTTGGTGGGGGCGGCAACAGCAGCGGCGGGGACAGCGATAGTGGTGGGGCAATGCTGGGCGGGGGGCGGGAGGGGGGGGGGCGGTGGCCGCGGTGATGGTATTGGCTGCGGCGTGCCTGGGGCAGGCGCGTTTGCTTGCTTGCTGGATAGTGGCGGTGGATGGCTGGGTCGCGCTGGGGTGGGGGTGGGGGGGTGGTGGCTGTCGGCGCAGCAGCAGCGGCGGTGGTGGGCCTGGTTGGCAATGCCAGAGGCAGCGGCAGGGTTGGCTTGGCGGCCGCGGCGGCAGCGGTGGCGGTGGCTTTCGCAATGGGGGCGATGGCAATTTTTTTTTCAGAATTCCTGAGTATGCAAAGCTCTAAATACATGTAAACGGCCTTACTTGCACAGAATCCTTTCTACAGTGATTTCCCCCGCAATGACAGTGGCAACGCTAGAACATGTCCCTTCATGTAGGCTGCTCAGGCCCCACTAGGAATTGAACCCAAGAAGCTCAGATTGTGAGAACATGGATGCCCCATTTCACTACATTAACATTATTTTACCTGGGAGGGTTGGGCATATTTCGCCTGCTCCGTTCCACTGAATTGTGTCATTTCACTACATTACCAGCAGATTCCGAGAAACAGGCTCCCGGCAAATTCCCAGGAGTGAAGGCCATGAGGCCCTAAGCGCCCTGGCGCCATCGTCCCAGGGCCTCC